CCCTTCCTGCAGTGGGTAAACAACATAACCAAATACCCTTTCTGTAGTGGTTAAACAACATAACCAAGTACCCTTCCTGCAGTGGGTAAACAACATAACCAAATACCCTTTCTGTAGTGGTTAAACAACATAACCAAGTACCCTTCCTGCAGTGGGTAAACAACATAACCAAATACCCTTCCTGCAGTGGTTAAACAACACAGCCAAACAAAGCTTGTTCTTTGCGTATATTTTCAATCATTTTTTTTTTGTTTATTTTCAAAGCGTCTTTGTATGCGCCATGTTAACACATCATTATGGTATCCTAACGACAAAATCTGAAACTCAAGAATTGTAAACAAAATCTTAGTATTTTATAAAAATATTTATAATGTTTAATCAACATTGAAGAAAACAGTCTTAGTAAGACTTCAATTATCTGGTTGTTTAAGAAATAATCGCTTTCTAAGTCTTACGGAATATCAAACATTCATACAAAGATATATTTGTATTTATCATTCGAAGATTTGGAAGAATTTAATAGTAAACTTTATTATACAATGCATTATAAATCATTTCTTTGATTGTATTATGTAAACATCTTTGTATTATAGTTAAAAATTGGCAACAGACTCAATCTTTTATCCTTTTTTTTTACAATGATGTGTACTTGCTCAGTACTTAGATAAATAACAAACATCATGAATGTAAATCAATGAAACGTTTTATCTAAATAAGCAAAACGGTGCATGAGGAAATATGCGCATACACCTAACACTGTTAGTGTATGATACAAACATTACTTACAGATTCCGTCCAGCAGACGTTTCTACGGGAACCTGAAGATAAAACACCTAACACTGTTAGTGTATGATATAAACATTACTTACAGATTCCGTCCAGCAGACGTTTCTACGGGAACCTGAAGATAAGACACCTAACACAGTTAGTGTATGATACAAACATTACTTACAGATTCCGTCCAGCAGACGTTTCTACGGGAACCTGAAGATAAGACAGTTATTCTCGGAGAAGACGTTCTGTTGCCATGCCGAGTGAAGAATAAAGTGGGGATGTTACAGTGGACTCGGGAAGGATTCGGGCTGGGCTCGGATCGGGAACTGATAGGGTTTTCTCGTTACACCATGGTGGGAAATGACGAAGAAGGTCAGTGTTGATACAAGGTCGCTAAACATCTATTAATAATTAAGGTGATTTTTATGCCATAGAACACTAATAGGTGTACGTTGTACTACCCCTCACGAGTCTACGAACCTTAAACTCTGAATTTGTGACATTAACAGTCCAGGACACGAGTCTTGAAAATACTTGGAACGTGTAAACATTGCATTTGTGATATTAAAAGGTTATGAAGTATACGCTTTTGGTCTTGAAAATATTTGTAACATGTAAGCACTAAAGTTGTGATATCAAGACCCCATAAGTTATCCCATATGAGACTTGAAAATATTTGTAACATGTAAGCACTAAAGTTGTGATATCAAGACCCCATAAGTTATCCCATATGAGACTTGAAAATATTTGGAACGTGTAAACTTTGAATTACAAAGTTTCACATGGAATTAACGTAGTTAAAATAATACAAACAAAGTTGTTAATCACAATAAAATAACTATTCAGTGAAGTTCAAAACCAAAATTCCCCATAAATGTTATAACTTAGAAATAAAGGTCTCTGTTATAGGATATGTTATACCCACACGTGTTATAACGTACAAATAGGATATGTTATACCCATACGTGTTATAACGTACAAATAGGATGTGTTATACCCATAAGTGTTATAACGTAGAAATAAAGGCCTCTGTTGTAGGATGTGTTATACCCATAAGTGTTATAACTTAGAAATAAAGGTCTCTGTTATAGGGTGTGTTATACCCATGAGTATTATAACGTAGAAATAAAGGTCTCTGATGTAGGATGTGTTATACCCATAAGTGTTATAACGTAGAAATAAAGGTCTCTGTTATAGGATGTGTTATACCCATAAGTGTTATAACGTAGAAATAAAGGTCTCTATTATAGGATGTGTTATACCCATAAGTGTT